ATGGTCCATGAACAAGGAATGGTCTTCCATTTATTTACATCATCTTTAATGTCTTTCAACAGTGTTTTGTAATTTCAGAGTATAAATTTTGCACTTTTGTTAAATTTATTCCAAAGTATTTTATACTTTTTGATGCTATTATAAATAGAATTTTCTTAATTTCATTTTCAGATTGTTCATTGCAGGTATATAGAGTTACAATTTTTTTATATTTATCTTTTATCCTGCAACTTTGCTTAACTCGTTTATCAGTTCCAACAGTTTCCACCCACCCCCCAAGCAGGTTCTTTGAAGTCTGTGTACAAAATCGTGTAAGCAGCGAACAGAGATAGTTTTACTTCTTCCTTTCCAATATGGATGCCTTTTATTTCATTGTCTTGCCTAATTATCCTGGCTAGAACCTCCAGGACAGTGTTGAGAAGTGGTGAAAGTGGGCATCCTTGATTGTTCCTGACTTTAGGGAGTAAGCATCCAGTGTGTCACCATTAAATATGACATTAGCTGTGGGTTTTTCACAGATGCTTTTTATCAGATGGAGGAAGTTCCTTTCTATTCCTACTTTATTGAGTGTTTTTAGCATGACCACTGTTGGATTTTTGTCAAGGCTGTTCCTGCATCTATTGAGATAATCATGTGATTTTATTTTTTTATTCTACTGATATGATGTAATCATTGATTTTGGGATGTTAAACCAACTCTACATTCCTGGAATAAATCCCATTTAGTTACGGTGTATAATTCTTTTTATATATAGCTGCATTTGGTTTGCTAGTACTTTGTTAAGGATTTTTGCTTCCATATTCATGAGATACTGGTCTCCAGCTTTCTTGTGCTATCTGTCTGGTTTTGGTATCGGGTAATCCAGCCTCATAAAATGAGCTGAAAAGTGGTCCCTCTGGTTCCTTTTTTTTTTTTTTTAAATAGTTTGTAAAAATTTATCGTTAACTATTCTTGAAATGTTTGGTATAATTCAGTGGTGAAACTCTCTGGTCCTCTAATGCATAGAGTCAGGGATTTTTACCGTGGGTAGTATTTTTATTATTAATTTATACTCATCACTTGTTACAGGTCTGTTCAGATTGTCTCTTCTTGAATCAATTTTGGTAGTGAGTGTCTTTAGGAATTTGTCCTCATTTCATTTAAGTTACGTAATTATTTGGTATAGAACTATCATTTTTCTGGTTTTTTTTTCATGTCTTTTGTTGCACTATTCCTCCTTTACTAATTGCTTTTGGATTAAGTGACTATTTTCTAATGAAGCATTTAAATTTCTTTAATAATTTTTCCACTATAATTTTAAAGATTTTTTTTCAGTGCTTACTCTAAGGTTTACCATATAACCTGATTTATCTAAATCAGCTTCAGATTTATACTAGCTTAACTTCAATATATATAGAAATGTTAGTCCTATATATCTCCATTCCCTTCCCCTTTTTGTAGTACTGTTATATATATTATACCTAATAAAGTTACAAATCTGGCAAACATTGTTATAGTTATTACTTTACCATCTGTAGTCATTTCTTTAGCCCATTACAGCTTTCCTCCCACCCACTCCTTTATGCTGTTATTGGTAAGTATAATACACATATATTGCAATTCTGTTATAGTCCCAACAGTATCTTATATACATACTTTATATAATTACTTTTTAAATCAATTAAGATAAGAAAAACAATGTGTATTTCTCTTTTATAATTATATAATTACCTTTATTGGTGCTCTTTGTTTTTTTTTTAATGTAGATTTAAATTACTACCTGAGGCCACTTGCTTTTAGCCTGAAGAATTTCCTTTAGTATCTCTTGTAAAGTGAATCTTTAAGCATTAAATTCTCTCAGTTTTTGTTTATATGGAAAAGTCTTTAGTTCACCTTCATTTTTGAAATGTCCTTGCTATTTATAGCCAGCTGTGCTGGATATAGGATTCTCAGTAGCCAAGTTTTTTCTTTGAGCGCTTTAAATATGTTCTGCTGGGAAGTCAGCTGTCCATCTTATTGGGGTTCTCTTGTAAGTGCAAAGTCATTTCTCTCTTGCTGCTTTCAAGATTTTCTCCTTGTCTTTCACTTTCAGCATTTTTACTATGATGTGTCTGAGAATCTCCTGTTTATCCTCCTTGGAGTTCACTGAGCTTCCTGAATGTATAGGTCATTGTATTTCAGTAAGTTAGGAAGTGTCAGCCATTATATTTTTAAAATATTTTTTCTCTCTCCTCTCCTGGTATTTTCATTACACATACGTTGATGCACTTAATAATCTATCACATTTCTCTGCAGCTCTGTACGTTTTTCTTCATTCTTTTTTGTCTACTCTCCAGCTTGCATAAATTCTATCCATCTATTTTCAAGCACACTAATTCTGCCAGTTCAAATCTACTTTGAGCCTCTCTAGTGAATTTTTTTTGTTTTTAAATTTCAGTCATTGTATACTTTCCAGCCCTGGAATTTTAATTTGGTTCTTTTAAATAATTCCTATCTCTATTGATATCCTCTATTTGATGCAAAAATATCATTATACCTTCCATTTATTTCCTTAATTGTGCTTTCCTTCAGTTCTGTGAACATATTTATAATGGCTACTTTAACACCTTTTCATTAAATCTGACATCTGGTCACTCTCACAAGCAGTATCTGTTGCTAGCTTTTTTCCATTGTATGGGTCATACTTCCCTGTTTCTTTGCATACCTCATAATTTTTTCTTGGAAATTAGGTATTATAGATAATATAGCAACTCTGGGGACTGGTGACTCCCTCTCCAGAGCTTGTTGTTATTTGCTTATTTATTTGCATATTAGAGACTGGCTGCATTGTTTTAGTGAAATCTATTTCCCTCACATAATGTAAAGGCCTATGATGGTGCTTCTCAGGAGATACATCTTTGGGTATGCCTAAAGGTTTTAGTAGGGCTCTCTTTCATTTTCCCTTATCATGCCCAGCTGTTAATCTCCACTAATTGTGGTATATTGTTCCCATTATTTTCAACAACACTCTGGCCCTGGCTGGTGTGGCTTAGTGGATTAAGTGCTGGACTGTGGACGGAAAGGTTGCCAGTTCGATTCCCAGTCAGGGCACATGCCTAGGTTGCAGGCCAGGTCCCCAGTTGGGGGTGTGCAAGAGGCAACCCATCCATGTTTCTCTCACACATTGATACTGCCTTTTTTTTTTTTTTTTCCTCCCTCTTTTCTCCTCTCCCTAAAAATAAAAAAGTATTTTTTAAAATGCTCTGGAGCATAGCTTGCTATTCAAAGTAATCCAGTCAAAAGGTGGTTCTTTTGAGGGATCAGTTTCGGAGATCTGTGTTTGATGTTTGTTCTGACCCCACGCAGGGCTCTTCCTAGCCATGCTACTCCCCAGATTCTCTCCTGCAAACCAGCTGGTTTGCAGTCTAGGCTTTAACTTTATGCAATCCAGAAATCCCCTCCCAATTGCCTTTTACCAGCACCTCTACTGTTCTTGAATACCTAAGCATAAACTTCTCCATACTTTGTTGCAAATGAAGTCACTACCTTGAGTAGAGATTACAAGCTAAGGGTTTTAAAGCCTGCTTCTGTCTCTAGGCAAAATCTCTGAGCCCTTGGTGGAAGTGGGGAGGGGACACATACCAGCCTAGGTGGGGTCCTCTCAGTTTACCTCTCCTGGCTGGAATTACCATCTCACAAGCTGAGTGCGGGACAAGAGTATTTGGGGCCCAGTATTCTCAAGGTGCAGCCTAGAGCACAGCCCTCATTCCATAAGAAAGGAGCCCCATCTTTCAACTTTCTCTCACTTGGCTCAGCAACAAGTAGCCTTGAGCAGTATGAGAAGCACTGAAATCCTCCCTCTCCTGGTAAGAAAGCCTTCTGACTAGGAGCTCAGGGGAGAGGGAGCCCTGTGTTCTGAGATCTCTACCTTGCTAAGCTGGAAGCCGGAGAATGGTAGAGGTCTTGGTTGAAATGCCACAGATTTTCACCTTCCTTACTGAATTTTCATATATTTTCTTGAATAGATGTTTCTTCACTTGATGTTTTCCCTTAGGACCATTTCCAGAGGGCTTAAATTATTTTTTCTAAAAATTTTTACCAGTTTTATAGAGGATCAGGTCAGTGGAAATCCTCACACTGTCATGCTGGAAGTCAATCCTATCTATAGCAGCTTTTGTGCTACAGGGTAGAGCTGAAAAGTTGAGTAGTTGCAACTGAGACCTTATGGCCTGCAAAGTTAAAAATACTTATTATGTGGTCCTTTACAGAAAAAGTTTGCCAACCCCTGACTTAAGTCACTGCTGCCAATGCTGCTGGTCCACAGACCACACTTGAGTAGCAAGGACTTAAATTGCTTTGAGAGATAGTACTGTATTGGCTAAAAGCTTGATTCAAAACCCCACTCCACCGTTTACTAGGTACATGGTTTGGGGTACCTACCTCATTAGATTATTGTAAGAATTAAAGGTATGAATGTCTGCCACTTTGAAAGTATTCATCAAATGATAACTGTTATCATCATCATGCAAACTGTAAGGAAAATTTATGTATAAGACACCATCTCTTTCCTCAAAGAGTTTCTTCCAGAAGTTAAGTTTTGGAAAAGGGAAACAAGTATAGATTTCCCAATAAAACGAGATGCCTTTTAATACCTGTGGCACATAATATTGTCTAATAAAGTAAAAACTCGATAGAGCTGAAGCTTCAGTCTGACACTGAAAACTAGAATTGGCTACCACCGATGTTCCTAGCCTCTTGCAGTATGAATGAAAATTGTCTACAAGTGTTTCCAAATCCAAAAGTTCTATTGAAAAAGGCAGCAATTTATCTTTAACATAAGGATTTGGGCCTAGATGGCTCCTTCCGGCTCTGGCCATCCCTGTCTATACCCAGAGATGATAAAAGCAGAATCCCTCAAGTTTCCACCTCGACTGTCACCCTGGTAGGGGCGCCCCGGTCGGTGCCACACTTAGGGCCCAAGGAGCGGGGGTTCAGCCAGGCTCCCACCTCGCCGCTGCCCGTCGGGGCTGCCAGTCGATTACCTCGCAATTAAACTCCATCTCGGCGTCCATGGTGACAATCCGCACGGTGAACGTCTTGGGCTGCTTCCTCTTGAGGGAGCTGAAGCTCATGCGGGAAGCGATGGCCCCGGCCATGGTGCGGGGCTCAGGCCCGGGACCCTAGCTTCCCGAGGCCTGTGCTCTGGGACTGTTAGCCCCCCTGGAGGACCTGCACAGGCCTCAGGGCCACCATGGTGCCCGGCCGGCCAGCCCGAAAACTGTCTGGACGGCGCGGGCCCCCAGCGGCCAGCATGGGCCGCGAGGACCCTGCCCCGGGAGCAGAAAAGGGGAGTTGGAGAGCAGGCCTTGACGGCCGTGGGGAACAAACGCGAGAGGGGACCGACGGGGTGGAACCGGCCTGGCGCTCTGGGACTCGGGCCGGGGACACTGGGGTCACCCGAGGACGGGGCCCCTAGACGGCTGGGTCCCAGATCCGGCGCGCCTCTCGGCGACTGATGGAGGTCTCAGGGACGCGCTGCAGCCAGGCGCGCACGTGCGCGCGTGGCTGTCACCTTCCTCGCTCCGCGCGCCCGCGGGAAGCGTCCCCTCCCCGCAGCCCCCGACCTGCTCTCCGCCCCGCCCTCAGGGACGGTCTCTACTCACGGCGCAACCTAACGGGGGGGGGGCTATCGCTCAGGAGCAGCGATTGGCTTAGATTTCGGAGAAAGGCGGGACTTTCACTCTCCGTCCGCCTTCTTCAGAACGTCTCTACCAGTTGTAAGTTTCACTCTAACCAGAGGCGCGGGCCGGGGCTCGGCGTTGAGTGGCTCTGGCGGCAGTCGCTCCGAACGCTTTTGTTAGTAGCGGTACGCCTACTCTAGCAAGACTGGTTGAGACGGCGGATCCCGACGCGCCTTTCCCGGGAAACCACGTAGAGGCTGACCCCAGGGCGCGCGAGTGGGTGTCCTCTCAGGTCCTTTCGGATCAAGTACGCCGAGTATGAGGCCCCAGGGGATCTTGTTTAGGACATCCGGCGGATAATCCTGTTTGGCACTTAATAATTACATATAGTGACCACTGTTTCTCAAACTTTTAAATCACTTGTGGAGGCCACTTTGGTTGCCGGCTTTCTCTCGCAGATCCTTCTGCTTCTCTTTAGGAGGAATAGTAGTTATTATAGGGGCGGGAGTGGCGGGGGGGGGGGGTGGATTATGACTGTACCTACCTCGTGGGTTTGTTAAGGAATTTAAGCGAGTTCATATTAAGCTTTAGGACGGTGGCTGGCATTTACCAGGTTGAATACTATGCAACGGCTGTTTTTGTAGGTGCAAAATGGTAAAAAATGAAAGCATTTCTCACTTACGGTTTTTATTTGCGAACCTTATATGTGTATTATTTATTTTTTAAATGTCATCAAAGGTTATAAGGGGTGTGTGAGGTGGAGGAGTATAACTCTGTATTTAAAGAAAAACTCCCATTTTTAAATAGCTCTTAAGAGTTGAATAGAGACGATTTCCTGTGTTTCAACTGAGCAGTAAGCACTCCATAAATATTAACCATCACCTCTCCTCTACGGAGGAGGAAACAGACTCAACCTGGCAGAGCACCAGCAGGCTCCCATCCAACTAGTGAAAGGTGAAGCTGCGACTAGGACCCAGGTCGATCCCACGCAGAGCCTGCCGGTATTACCACTGCACTGCTTTGCTTCTCTGGTTGTGGCTACCAAATTGCTCCCGCTGTAGCCCCAGAACCATGAACTGCAGTTCTGGAGCATTCAGCAGACGCTGTTGCTAAACCTATACTAATAGCATAGATCTAGCTCTTCCCTATGGGCCGCTGTCGTGATATGAAGCTTCAGCCAGGTCCCAGGCATCGTTTGCTGGCACACCCAGAGAGGCTGCTGTTGGAGAGCTTAATGTCCTGCATAGTGCTAGCAAATTCTCCCCACCAAATTGATTGTTCAGAAAAAAATGGTCTTGGCGTGGGAGTGTCTTCATTTTGGTTGCTTCTGTCCTTCACTGTAAGAGACCCAGGCTGGAATCTTCCATGGGTTCCCCATAGGGGCAATAAATCAAGGGTTTAATTGAGGGGCTAAGACTGCTGGGGAATCCACTGAGGAGACAGATCAGACAGCAGGAGCTAAAAATGACACTGATGGTCAGTGATAGCTCATTTTTATGGAAAACTTACTAGGTGCTAGGTACTGGGCTAATTGGCTGAACTTTAAAGTACCTAGGGAGACATTCAGGAAGATATGTGGGTCTGGGTCTCAGAAGGGAGGCTAGGGCCACAAGTAAAAATAGATGTGATGGAATATTATGCTGGCATTAAAAGTGCCATTCACAAAGAATAAACAGATGATAATAATACCTACCAGATAAGGACTTGAGAAGGAATAATTCAGGTAGAGCTCATTACAAAAGATCTGGCACACAGACACCAGTTAAAAACTATATGTTGAATGAATAAATAAAGAACATGGGGAAATACTATGGGAATAATATTAATAGCTACCACATAAGGTACTCCACAAAGAGTGCTTTGCATGCTTTCTTTTGATCTTTATTAAAACCCTATTTGGTAGGCATATCTCTAGTTTACACATGAGGAAATGGGCTAAGACTAAAATGAGATAATTTACCCCAGATCATAACTGGTAGAGATGCAGTTTAGATCCAGGACTACTTTAATGCAGATTTCACCTGATTTAACATTTAGTCCTTCATTCTTCCTGAAGATCAGTGGTTGTCAAAGTGAGGTCCCTTCCCTCCATAAGATATTTGGCAGTGTGTAGAGATCGTTGTTGTTGTTGTTGTCACAACTAGGGAGTGCTCCTGTCCTCTGTGGATGCTGTTAAATACCTCACAATGCACAGGACAACCCCCCTCCCACAGCAAAGAATTGTTCAGTCCCAAGTATTGATAACCCCAAGATAAAGAGATCCTGCTCTAGAGCAATGATTCTTTAATTTTTTTAATCATAAACACTCTATTGAGAATCTGATGGAACCAGTGGACTCTCTCCTCAAAGTAATGCATATATACACAAAATGTCGCATGTGGTTTTAGAAAGTTCAGAGATAGACTTTTCCAAAGCACATCTGCAAACCCCAGATTAAATCAACTCATCCCACCAATTAAATCAACTCGTCCTACATTTAGATTGTGATCCCTCCGCCAAAAACTGAACTCTCATTTTTGGCCACTTGCAGAATTACTTTTACTGTATACTGACTTGAAACCAGTGTCCTGCACTGAGTATACTAATTAGAAAGAACAGCCCTGAGGATTCTGACTGTCTTAACAGTAGAGATTTAGCTGACAGAGGTTCACACATCATCCTTTCAATGGAGACCCACAAGAGAAATCTCCCTCACTCCAGCACTTGCATTCTCATGGGAGGTTGGTTTGCTTTCTATTTTTAAAATAAATTTTATTGTATTTTTCCTTATTTTATAAGTAATTCATGTGTCTTATAAAAAAGAAATTGAAAACTAGCCAAGTGGTGGGCATAATTCTAAAATGCTCCTCAATGGCCCACAGCTTTGTATAATCCTCCCCTTTGGGTGTGGGCAAGACCTATGGATATGTTGAGATATTCCCATGACTATGTTACTTTATATGGCAAAAAGGATTTTGGCAGATATAATACTTAGTCAGTTGTACTCATCTAAAGGGAGATTGTCCTGGGTGGGAATGACCTAATCAGGTGACTCTTAAAAAGGGATCTAGAAGTCAGAGATGGAGTCAGAGAGATAAGCTTGGAGCAAAGCGAACATCCATGTTGTGAACTGCCTATGAAGTCACGTAGCAAGGAACTCTGGGTGGTCTCTGAGAGCAGAGAGTGATCCCTGTTTGACAGCTAGTGCACACAGGTTATTCGGTCCTACAACCGCCAGCACCTGAATTCTGCCAATAACCTAAATGAGCTAGGAAGAGGATCCTGAGCTTCAGATGAGAACCGGGTATGGCTGACATTTTGACTGTAGCCCTTTGAAACCCTGAGCAGAAAATCATGCCGCACCATGCCTGGAATCCAGACCCGGGATTCTAGACTCATTCCAGACCCATGAGATAAATATAATTGCCACTAAAATTGTAGTTATTTGTTACACAGCAATAGAAACCTGATACAAGCAGGAAGAAAAAAAAACAATTTTAATTCGCATATTCCACTGGTCCACTGCTTTTGTATAGTACATACTCTTTTTGATTTGCTAATTTTTCACTCCTTAATGTTATATTTTTCCATATCATTAAATATTCTATAATATAATTTTCTAAAGGCTACATAGGATCCCATGTATGGATGTAAATGCTGAGAGTTTCTTTTTTCTCTCTTACACACACTGCAAACCATGTAACCAATCTTGTTTCTTTCTTGTTATTAGAAGCCCAGAGCCAAACTTGAATTCAGCCTCTGGCAATAAATTGTACCTGGTCTTACCTTATCTTTGGCTTCATCTTATTTTTCCTACCCTTATTCCTCACGTTGCAATAACTTCCCCCAACCCATTTACTGTTTATTTGTTGCACTAGCTGTATTTCTTTTAAGACAGTTATGGGGCCCTTACCTAAAGGCTTTTTGTTTATTTGGTTTTCTTAGGTCACTACTTTATATAACAAAGTGTTTTTTACATATATTCACTTTTAAACTTTTATTTTGAACTAATATTAGACTTAAAGTTTGCAAAAATAGTAGTTTTTCTATTATATCCTTCATTCAGCTTCCCTTACTATTAACATCTTACTTAATTATAGTACAATTATCAGAACCAAGAAATTAACATTGATACAAACACTATTAACTAAAGTAAAGACCTTATTCATATTTCTTCAGTGCTTCCACTACCATCCTTTTTTGTTCCAATGTGCTATCCAGGATTTCACAAAGCGTTTGGTTATTTCTCCTTGTTCTCCTGAAGTCTGTACTAATGCCTCAATCTTTCCTTGTTTTTCATTACCTTTACACTTTTAAAGAGTATCCACCAAGCATCTGTCGAAAGTCTCTCAGTTCAGGTTTGGCTTATGCTTTCCCATGATTGGACAGATGTTCCCGATGTATTTTCGTAAGCTGCACTACATTCTTTTTGGGGTAGGGTGGAGACTGAAAGCAAACTGAGAAGTTCTGGCCTGCCTGCAGCCTGAGGCTCAGGAACGTGCCTTGACTCATTCAACATCACCTGGCTCAGGTGTCTAGCTCTGGGCCCATTGTCTTCCAACGGCAGCATGCTGCATATAACAAAGGTCCTTGCCTACTGCAGGCACTAAAAAATGAAATGACTGTTTTCTGGCCTAAAATTCATGCTCATGCCTGATTTGCAATTTGCTGCTGTTTCTGTGGGGTTTCGTTTTTTATTTTAAGTAGAAACTTTGTGTCTTGAGATGACATTCTGTATGAGTTTCCAAGGCTGCCATAACAAAGTTCCCCCTCCTAGATGACTTGGAACAAGAGAAATGTATTGTCTCATGGCTCTGGAGGCTAGAGTCTGAGATCAAGGTGTCAGTAAAGCCAGGCTCCTGTCGGGCAGCATCCTTCCTTTGCCTTTTCCTGCCTCTGGTTTCCCCAGACAGTCACCAGCTTATGGCCGCATCGCTTCAACCTTC